TTTCAATGAAAGCTTTGTGTTTTATGACACACATATACAGGATTTTTTTTTTTTTTTTTGGATTTTCTTTAAAAAACTGAACTATGTCACTTTCAGCATTATAGATGGTCTGTAACCACATGTTTCATTGTATCTTGATACTGTTTTTCTTAGTGGTGTGAGTAAAATGCTTTATATTTATAAATGTTAGCATTATATTTATGTGGTCTGTGTAACTGTTCAGTTCAGGACTAAAATGGTATGTGGGGCCTAAAATAAAATTTTGAGGAACACCCTCTGATCTTTCGTTGCTTTATTTCTTCCACAAGCAAAAAAATCAATCCAAACTCACTTTTTCTTTGCCTCTTTCCGTTCTTCATTGTAATTTTCCGTATTTAAAGAAGAGATGCCAACTCTGTCCCCATGTAGGTTAGAATAATTCCAGGTAAAAGATGGCCTTGATTTAAACATGTCATCTGTCATAACTGATCAAAATATTTTTGAAAACTTTTGTTCCTTTCATTAATATAAGAACATTCAATCAAATTCTTGGCTTGAATTTTTTTCCTTCTTTTGTAGCTAATTCATTTCTTTAAACTTTCTTAGCTTTAACAACACTTAGTTAAACTTAGTAAATTAGTCAACAGTAGGCAGCAAGTGGTAAATAACAGGAGGCAAATAGGCATCTCCATCTCACATGAGTAATCATGCTTCTCATGTGAAACAGTGTGACGACTGGGATACAGCCATGCTTATTACAGCACCTGTGAAAGAGTGTCTCCACTGCGAGGTTTCACACAGTTCAGTGGCTCAGTGTATCCTCTCACAGGAGTCAAGCTTGATTGTGTAAATCAATTATGGAAAGGGCTTAGTAACTGTGGCTTGACAAAGTACGTTAATGAGTGACTGCAGGTGTGAAAGACTGAATATGTGTGTCATGCCACTTCGGGCTTTTGGTTGGATTATCAAACAATGAGCCCGAGGGCACAGACCACTAATTATTATGAAAATACAGCATCTGGATCAAGCAATTTACTGCAGTAAATCACTTTCGTTATTGCTTTCCTCTAATGCACGCTGTATTCTTTTTTTATTTCATATTTAATTTATAGATTAAACAAAAAAGGCTTATTTATAGTGCAATATGTGCAATAGTGCTGTATTTCCTTAGTATAGGGGAAATAGGCAGAGCTGATAAGGAGATGTTTAACATATACCCTACTTAACCAAACTACCACACTGCCTCCTACTGGTCTCACCTAGCAAAGACAGGTGCTTTCCTCCAATTGAAATTGGCTTCTTTAGTTCATTATAAACTTCTTCAAAAAGGTAATTTACAGTCTTACTCATAAACAGCTCAACAATGAGGTTGTATTTTAATGCTTTAAACCCTTGATATACTAATTTTGCATTTTTAAAAAATCCTTTACATCTCCAGTTAAAGTTACAGTTAAAATCATAAAGAGTTCATTTGCAGGCCCCTTCAACATTATTACTAATAAACAGTTGTGTTTTACTGCTATTAAGCAATGCACAGCTGGATTTGAATGGTGCTATATAAACATCAAATCATAGTAATTATGATTATTTCACTTGTGACAGTATATTTACTGCTTTACTACATAATGGCATGTGTTTCAATTATTTTACCCACCATAATTTAAATATTTTTGATGGGACAGCATTTAACAGCCACCCTCCAACTAACTTTGACCAGACACACAATGCTGTGAGCCAGAGGGAATAAATAAGAGAATAGCAAAAGTAGAGCAACAGCTAAACTTATAAGCACAACTAATTGACCAAAGGAGGCCAACTTAGTGTGGAGCGTTTTCATATAGATCTTCAGCTCTCCCGTGAGGCCATTCTTGCAGATGTTAGGGCAGAACTCTGACTAGACACACAAACTAGAAACAGACTGTAGCAGAGGGTGGCCACTAACTGCTCCAGACTTCAGACTTGATAAATAACACCATCCAGATTTCACACAGCTTCTGGTAAAATTCTCACTGACTTCCAGGAAGTAAACAATGAATTTCAGTATCTTTACATAAGTCTTTGATGTCACCCGACATTTAAAAGTGATTTTCTAAGTACATGAAAAGTTCTGGTCTTAAAGAGCTTTGTGCTTTAAACAACCTAACATATGTAATTTTAAAAAAGTATGCAAAGCCCTAAAACTGCAAAAGCTCAAACTTAATTTTCTGCATGTAGCAATCTGAAAAACCATGGAAACCCTTTATGGACTTGAACTTACCCCACCTTCCCTTCATGTGCTTTATACAACATCTCATGCACCAGTTTGTTTGTTTTTTTTCCCCAACAATTAACTGCTTTTCATCTCACCAATCTGGAGCAACTCAGGGTTCAGTATCTTCCCCAAGTAAACATTGGCATACAGACTGAAGCAGCCAAGGTTTGAACTACCAACTTTCCAACTAGCACGTGGCCTGCTCAACCTCCTGAGCCACAGTCACAGTCACCAAAGCTACAGTACAGTTTACTACAGTACAAATGTCATACCTTAAACATAATGACTCAGAAATGTCAAAACCTGTTGCAGTTGCTTGTTTAACCATTATTGTGGTTAAACAAGCAACAACAACACTCTGAAAAAAGTGTAGGTTCAGAATGCACAGGCAGTGAGAGTTCTTATCTTTTCTTCTGTGAATAGAGAAAGTGGGATAAGTGGGATCATTTCATGATCTGAAATTGTTTTGCTTTTTTTCAGCACAGATAAAAGTGTTTTGATGTGTAAGAGGTTTTGTCAGGGTGATTTCAAGATTGTCTAGTAACTGTGAAAAACTCTAATTCTTATTTTCTTTGAAGAACCTTCCCAAGATATCAACTATACATAGACAGAGCTGTTGGATAAATCCACTCACCCATACGCAGAGATAAAGAGAGGGAATTTTATCTGTTATCTACACCATAGACCACCAGTAGAGGGCACGCAAGGCAGATCATAGTCTGATCCAAGCCTATAGTCTGGCCTTCTGAACGAATTATTGTGCAAGAAATGCAACTGATCAACAATCACATCCGTATGGAGAAAGTTTCTTTGTGACAGTTAAATCACTGGTTGTAACAGGAAGAAAACTACAATCAGAGCTACCAAACAACCAACTGCTAAAAATCTCATACCTTTTTAAATCTAATACTTTCTTTCACCTCGCTGAGAATAAATATTCCTGCCCCCAGAGAAGTGTGTGGCACCTGATGGAGCAGCTGTTTCCTTCCTTTTTACCCACTTGGAGCTGCTGACCCACTAGGAATATTCAGCTCGAAAGAGGATGTGATTTAATCACATTACTGCATGATCAGCCCTATCTGACTCATGGTTCTAGTTCTTGACTCCTCACTTCTTAATGACTCACAGATTCTCCAAGTCTGAAATAATTAGTATGCCCCATTTAGTCATCAGCTGAAATCCTCTCTAGTAAAACAACATGTTACAAGCCCTTTCCCAGACCAGACCACCGAGTTGCCCAGCGACTGCCTGGATTTTCAGAGACTTAATATGAAAAGAAGGGATTGGCTTGTAGAAGCTCAGCCACAGCTGATTTCACTTGTAAAGTCCAATACTGCTTTTCTTACACATTTTTCCAATGAAAATACTCAGTTCTTCTTGTCTCACAAGGTTAAAGTACAGATAAAAATTTAATTGTGCGAACAGAACATATGAAAATAAATGCTTTAAAATGGCTCTGTTAAAAAGATTGCGATAAAATAATTCAATATCAGAAATTGCTTTCTGTAAAGACTGATAAGCAAATTCACTTTACTATAATGACTGCAGCAGTGATATAGCTGTTGAAAATATGTCTAAAGGTTGAAGCTTCCTGCCACTCAGATTTTTCCCTCTAATGGAAGAGAATAGTTGGATTGTGCTCCTAACAGGAGTCTTGTGGTTTCGAAGTCTCATGGTTTCATGAAAATGCATCCAACTCAAAAAAAAACCCATGACATGGTTCTTTTCTCCTCTCCTCTTTCCTTTCCTTCCCTTCCCTTTCCTTTCCTTTTCTTTCCTTTCTGTAACTGACAAAACTGCTGTTTGAATTTCACATGACAAGGCCTGATAGTCTCAGATAGATATATTGCCTAAGGATTATCATATGACTCAGGGTTGCCATAAGTACAGGTCTGTACAGGCTTATATCAAACAAGAAGAGGAGGGGGAAGGGATTTCTTATGAATGAATGTGTTATGCCATGTGGAATAAGCAACTAGAATTAGAGTGTTCAAATTCAAATTCAAATTTTATTTGTCACACACACAACCATACACAGTATGACATGAGGTGAAATGCTTGTAGCTGTGCAATGCAATGCCCGACCATTAAATGACAGTGGTTTTACAGTATTTACAATTTACAGGTTATACAAAATTTACAGATTTAACTGTAAATTTAATTTACAGTAAAAAAAATGTGCAAATAGCAGAAAGAGATTATAAATTATAGGAAGTGTGCATGAAGAAAAACCAGAGTGCGTGTGGTGATGTGATGTGTGTGAGAGTCCAGTCTTATAGTGATGTGATGTGTGTGGGAGAGTCCAGTCCTACACCTGGTTCAGGGCCCGAATAGCCTGGAGGAAGAAGCTCCTCCTCATTCTCTCTGTTATGACATTAAATAGTTTATCCAGACTATTTTGTTTTATATGTTAAATTGTATTTTCTTCATTGGGCTGTATTAACTAATTATCTTGTTATGGAAGACTAATCAATTGAGGAAAAGTATAATGTATTTGCATCTGATTTACAAGATAATAAAGGCTAACTATACAATATATTAAAAATATTTGTGATTAAAGCCTCAACCTTGTTACACTTATTAAAAACTATTTTCTCCTCAGCACACCTTAGGCTGTTTTCTTTTCTCGAACTCCGGAGTGTATTTTTTAGCCCTTCTAAATGTATTTTCAGTAAGCTACTATTAAAAAAAGTGGGCGGGGCCTGTTTCCTGTTAGGAGGGGATTTGATGACGTGACTTCAGCCAGCGCCCCTGCGCACCACACAATTGAGAACAGGCGCTCTAGCACGAACCTAGAGGAAGCCCCAGACGTCAGTTGAACATGGCGTTGAGCTGGATAGCTGTCACAAACGTACATAGGAAAACAAGCGCTGTAAGGGCCACGGCGTTTTTCTGAAACTCTACTGCGGATTAGTCGTAAATACTGACGCTATCTTGACCACGTTTATCTGCTTTTCATCCGAGTCCCTTATTTCTGGGACTCATTGAACGCTGAAGAAAAGGGCGGTAGAGCGGTGTTGACAGCTAAGGTACCGGACTCAGCTAACGTTGATCTCTGTCAGAAAATGTGTTGAAACCTCCTTTGCTAACTAACGTTTACTAGCTGGGAGCTAGCTGTTGATTTTGTGTGTCCTAAGATATTAGTCAGTCGATAAGAGCGCAACATGGTTCTATAAACTGTTGCTCGTTTTTTCTTTCTTTTTTTTTTGGTTTTGTTTTGTTTATTGTTTGTTTTTTCGGGTCCAAGAAACTCGGCTACTATATTGTCATTCCAAACCTAACGTCATATGCCAGGTTTGTGTCCCCGGTGTTAGTGAGATAGGTTAAGAAAATGTCAGATAATCAGAGTTGGAACTCCTCCGGTTCTGAGGAAGATATAGAGCCTCGAGAGGAGCCTGGACATCCCATTGGCATCGCCGAGTTCAGCGGATACCTTAGTAAGGTAAGTCACGTTTGAAAGCCTTTTTTATGTATTTATTTTCCTCGCTCAGTTTCGCTGTCATGTCCCGTGGGTCTAAGTGGCACAGCTGTGTCCGTATACGTATCAGGAAAAAATCTCGGTAATGTGGTGACAAATCGTGGTATGTCTCCTTTAGGAAAAGGTTATCCAGTGAATCCGCCCAACAACATTTCCATCAACGTTATAGCTATATCACACCAGTAATCCCTCTGAAGTAAAAGGAAAGCCCCCAGTGAAACCAGATGACCAGCTAGTGTAATGCACAGGTCTTGTAGCCCTCAAGCTACTAGATGTAAAATTTATTTAAAGCCTGTACTGTAAAGCAATTCAACAAAACGTTTGCTTAGTATAACTAGACTAGTATTGTTGTTCAACTGTCCTGGTTTTCTTTAGTAAAGGGACTGTTAAGTCTTTCGGTAGACAAAGTCTAATCTCTGTAACCTATTTTGCCATATGGTTTTGCTCATGTGTGTCACCCTTTTTTGGGCAAATTGAGCAAGGTTTAAATTTGTTAAGCTGCTGACAAGCTAATGTGGTAATCTCACTGTACACAGGCTGTCTCTGAACAGATCGCACGCTGACCTGCTAACCAAGCATATTGTGCGATTAAGCAGATCTGTAACCAGATGAGCTCACCTGTTAAATCGAACTAAGCTATACATACGTCATAGGTCTTGAGGTTTAATGAGTCTAAACCTTAGATTAAATTCTATGTGTCAGAATGTTTTTTATGGAAAATTTAAGTTTGTTTTGATTTATTCAGTCCCTTACTGTGAAAATGCTTGCTGTTTTAGTGCAGTCTAATACCACAGAAACTATCTTGTTCAGATGGTACCAAACAGCAGTACAACTGCCAGCATCGGTATCTAGCATTTTGGCTAGATCACTCCTCATGGAGCCAGAACAGCTCAGTCCCATCTT